GAATTTACTAATACTGTTCAAAATAAACAAAAAAAGTCACAGATTTGCCGCAAAGGCGAAGCCCATGAACGCGATAGCAACAAATCGGATTGTCACGCGCAGAATGGCAAAGCAGATCGAAATGTGCCCCCCGTTTTTCATGCACAAATGACGCACGAAACGTACTCACAGGTACTATGAACGCGGAATAGGCGTCTCAGATGCTTCGCTGTGTCTGAAAAGCACGTCCTTTTCGCAAATGGAGGCTGTGCAATGATTGCAGTGACCTTTATTGTGGTAACTACAACAGAATCGTTCCAGTGCAAGCCGAACACCAGCCAAGAGTCTGATCCTCCCCACCAGGAGATAAGGGCCCGCACGTGACGTCCGCCCCCTCCTCTCCGAAGGCCAAAGTACGCGTGAGAGATGAGAGCCGCTGCACCTGCAGTGGGCCATCTTGCTGATAATACTGAAAACACAATATCTCCCCCTCCCCCGAGATGGCCACCGGCAGTGGTAAGTGGTATATATAGCTAGCTTGCCCTTTGAACGTTGAAGGAGTGGTACCACTTGGTAGCTCAGTGATTAACGCCTCGCACTCACGACGCGAAGGTCCAACGTTCGTTTCCGCATGCCGGAGCCTTTTTCTCTGGATTTTTTTTCTTGCGTTTCCATATATATATATATATATATATATATATATATTATATATAGAGAGAGAGAGAGAGAGAGAGAGATATGCGTATATACATACACGGTGCGTGACATCGACGCATGCGGCGAATCCAGCCGTGAGTATCCATATAATTGCTATCGCAATAATAAATAAAGTTGCGGCGTCCTCACGGTGTCGAAGGCACCGAAGCTGATCCCGCCGAGAAGACCATCACGTGCGCCAGCGGCAGGCTTCCGCTCAGGGAATCATGAACACCGTCACGCAGGCAATCGCCATTGTCAAGATGGACATGGTCTGCACGTTGTACGTGTTCGTACAGCTTGCCACTGAAAAGAGATGTGTGCAGTCTCCAATGTCAATACTGCCAAGGAAAGAATAGCGGATGTTATTAAATGCGAAAGCATTTCATGTGTACTGCTAGCACTTTTGTCGTCTGTTTATCTTCGCTTATGTCTGGGTGCTGTCGTGATCACCTCCTTAACCTTGATGTCAACCAGAATTAGGTGAAAAAAAGAATATGTTTTGACGAATATGAAGCGGCCGGTCAAGACAGACTAATATGAAAATCTCGTCGTAAACACTTTTCGCACATACCCGCTGACTAGTACGTGCCACAGGTGATTGACACCTCGCATCTACCCAGGAACGACGAGAACACACATACGTAATTTGAGCGAATAAGACCTACTTGACATCGGCAGCATGCAAAGAATAAACTGTCGGAGTCCAAGGAGAATCAACTCCCCAGCATTTTGCGTGACAATCAAGCATTCTACCACAGAGCCACGCCAGGCTCAGAACTACTTTTCAAATGACCTATGATGCTCATGAAACGGCAATTGTAGTTGCAGGTTTGCTATTAAATTTTATCAATACTCCTATGATACCGCCGTCATGTCGGTTTAACATCAATTTTAGTAGGGACCATGCGCTGACGTTTAGTAGTGGCGGTGCTCCAGGGCTACCATCCTTGCGAGTACCACTGCTTCATATCAGCTTATCGCTTCTCGTGTTGCTAATACTCATGTTCCTATTAGCATAGTTGCGCAAGTGCAAAAAAAAAAGAAGGTTATGCAAATGTCCGAAACTGTTCAACTTATGCCTGTGAGTGCAACATTTGTACATATTGTTACCTTTAGTAATGTGTTTATTACGCTGTGGCGTACTGGTAGACTTCAAGGGGTCGTGCACCGGAGGCCTATCTCACTAGCCGAACGTCCTCTTCTCTAATCTGCCTCTTTCCCGCTACCCAGGTGCACATACGTAAATTACATATGTGGTAACATTTACTTCCGTGCAGACGAAGCTCACTGGTGAGTCAGACAGTCTCTCGAGGAATAAAGCGCTTCAAACGTGCAACATGGGCAAGTTCAGTTTTTGCAGACCATCGGCTGTTCGAATGGAGACGCGCTATGCGGTAAATTAAATCACTGATACGGTCTCTGATACGGTCTAGAACAAGATAAGGCCCCGCATAGTGCGCTAGCAGTTTCTCGCTCAAACCGCGTTTTTAGTTGGTGTCCACAGCAACACTAGGTCGCCGCGATTGTACATCACGTGTCGGCTATAGGATCGTTGCGTCAAAATGTGCCCTTGAGCGGTCTTGCGAAGCAATGAGGTGCGCAAATAAGCAAGGCGTCTAGCTTTCTCTGCCCGACAGATGATCTCGTATATGCAGGGATCATGGTGGTACAAATACGGGAAGGTGGAGTTAATTTCCTCCTCCTCAACTAGCTTCAACACTAGCTAAGGAGAGAAGATGTTTGAGGCTCGGAATGGGTCCCCTCGATGACTCGAGTGCACGGGTGGCAGCGCACAAAGGAGAAGCCGTAGTCCGGTGAAGGAAAAGACGCTTATTGCAGCCTCAGGCGACTGCCGAGTCCAAACCCGAAACCTCCGCTCTTATTCAAATTTTAAAACATCCTCTTTTCACCCCTCGGTTGAACAAAGGTCTTCACAAACACCAATCACATGTTGGGACTCGCATCATCACAACCAATCGCAGAAACACCTTCATAAGAGGTACTACATTGGTTAAAACCACGTTACCAAATAAAACACGCAAAGGGATAGGTTCTGCGCGTGTGACACTCTCTCCCATGCCAGGCCGTGCTGCCTCCGTCGGCCGACTTCAGTTGGCAGCCGTTTTCACGCTCGAGCCCCGTCAGTTCTCTCATTAAATGTTGCTTCGTAGAAGCCTCCTTAAGAGCGGTGGCTACACCGTAGGGCTCCGTGCGCTTACCAGGTGTGCATGCGACAGCGAGGCGCCCCGACATCCTAACAACAGCGGGGGAGGTCATGCTTGTCTCTCTGCCGCTACTATGTCTGGGTCAGCCAAGTGGTCACGTCCCCGCGTCATTCTCAATGGCACGCGTGCATGCCAACAATGGCTTAAACTCAGACGGTGGCGCCTGACCTACCTCTTGCCAGACGCTTTTCCGAGCAAGCTTCCCCCATCTAATCCCGAACAGGGGCGACCTTGACGGCTCCGTTCGTGGACTGTGCGAACGAAGAAGTCTCATGCTCGGGGTCTTCCGCGTTCGCCTTCGCCGGAACCGATCGGCTTCGCTAGTTGACGGGTCGGGGACCTGGCTACGCCACTCTACATCAACCGCATGAATTGCGCTGCACCAACACGCTGGTAATTGGTTCCTCATACTAACTGATCGTGTTCAGGGTATGACGAGGGTGATCCAGCATATAGAAGAAAGAAAGGACTGTCGCCGGTAGTTTCAAGCTGTGCGGTGTTGAATGCATATGTGATAAAAGGTAGTAGAATACTGTACAGTCCTTTGCATGCTCTCCAAAGCTTTTCTGACTTCTTCTATCATTAATGGTGGGGTTGTAATCTGGGTTACTGCTAGTTCTTACAGTATTAAGGTCGAGGTTGTCCTGGCTACTGTACAGATCCCTGTAAAACTCCTCCGCTATCTAACTATCCTATCCATATTGGGTAGTTATTTTGCCTTCTTTGTCCCTTAGTGCATACATCCGACTTTGCCTATCCCAAGTTTCCTCTCAATGCTTTGACACCTTCCTCCGTTTTTCAGAGCGTGTTCAATTTCTCTCCATGTTATACCTTCTTACATCGCATACTTTACGTCTATTAATACAACTTCGAAAGCTCTGCCAGTTCTATTTTGTCTGTTGTGTACTTGACACTTTCATGATTTGACGCTCTTAATTAGGTTCTTCGTTTCCTGGGAAAGCTTGCCAGGTCCTGTCTAACTACCCTGCCTCCAACTTCCACTGCACACTCCATAATGATACTCGTCAGATTATCATTCATTGTATCTACGCTAAGGTTGGTTTCCTCACTAAGAGCCGAAGTACCTTGTTCTGCAGTGACACTCTGAATTCCTGTACTTTCCCTCTCAGTGCTAGCTGATTGATTGGCTTCTTGCGTATCAGTTCTGTCGTTCCTTCTTCAAGTCTAGGCGAATTCGAGACCATACCATTCTATGGATCACTGCATCGTACCTTGCCAATCACTTCCACATCCTGCACGATTCCAGGGTGTGCACTCATTATAAAGTCTATTTCGTCTTATTTTCGCCATTAGGGCTCCTCCATGTCACTTGCGGTTTTCTCGTTTTCGGTAGAAGGTAATTCAAAATCCGTAAATTAGTTGCATTCTGCGAATTCTACTAGTAGCTCCTCTGGCGTTTCTATTACCGGATGCCATAATCTCCTACTGCCTGGTCTCCAGCCTGCTTCTTCCCTACCTTTGCATTAAAGTCACCCATCACTATAGTATACTGTGTTTTTACCTTACTCATTGCCGATTCCACGTCTTCATAGAAGCTTTCAACTGAAGCGTCATCATGGCTGGATGTAGGCGCGTAAGCCTGTACTACCTTCATCTTGTATCTTTTGTTCAGTTTAATTACGATACCTACCACCCTTTCATTAATGCTGTAGTATTCCTCTATGTTGCCAGCTATGTTTCTGTGAATTAGGAACCCCACTCCCAGTTCTCTTCTGTCTGCCAAGCCCCTGTAGCAAAGGACGTGCCCATTCTGTAGCACCGCATAGGCCTCATCTGTCCTCCTAACCTCACTGAGCCCTATTATATCCCATTTAACACCTCTAGCTCCTCGAATAGTACAGCTAGACTTCCCTCACTAGATAAGGTTTGGAGAGCATGCAAAGGGGCAAAGCTGCTGGTGAGGATCAGGTAACATCAGATCTGCTGAAAGATGGAGGACAGATTGTGTTAGAAAAACTACCGTATAATGCGGAATATAGGTCGAGGCGGAATATAGGTCGACCCCCTTACCTTGACCAGCAAAAAAAAAAAGAAAAACGCGGAATCGTTCACTGCTTCACTTTAGTCAGTCCTCACAGTCCTCCGAGCTGTCGGAGCTCTCCGACGACGACGACTGCTTGTCACTAGCCGCCTCCCACAGCATGTCGTCCTCGGTGCCGTCGAGAGCGTTGCTGATGCAGCACTTCTTGAATGCGCGCACCACCATCTCTTCAGGCAGAGACCTCCATGCCTCGGAGACCCAACCACAAACTGTCGCGAGAGGTGGCCTGCGCAGCCGGCCTGTCGGGGTCCGCGGGTTGTCGCCAGCCATCCATTCGGTGTACAGCGCACGCACACGGTCTTTAAAAGGTTTATTGAGGACGACGTCCAACGGTTGAAGTGTTGATGTCATTCCTCCCGGAATGACGACAAGATCCGTCCTTCCGTCGCGAAGGCTCTCCTTCACCGATGCTGTCAAATGCCCGCGAAATGCATCCAACCGAGCATGTTCCGGCGCTGCAGGAGGGCTCCGGGCCGCCGGTTCCACACTGTGCGGATCCATTCGCGCATTAGGGCCTCGTCCATATACCCCTTCTCGTTGACGCGGACGACGACATCCCGCGGGAAGGCCTCCTTCGGCATCGTCTTCCGCTTGAAGATTATGAAGGGGGGCAACTTTCTGCCGTCGGCCGTGCAGCAAAGCATAACGGTGAAGCGCGAATGCTCGCTACCGGTCGACAAAAGCCTCACCTCTTTTGCCCCGCGTTCACAAACAGTCGTGGACGACGGCATGTCAAACCACACCGGCGTTTCGTCGGCGTTGCCGATCTGGCCTAGCATGTAGCCATGCTGCCGCCGGAGGTTGTTCACATAGAGTTGAAACTCTATCAATTTGTCCTCGTACATCTCCGGCAGCTTCTGGCATATCGACGTGCGCCGTCGAAGCGCAAATCCTTTGCGTCGCATAAAGCGACGGACCCAATAAATGGATCCCTTGAAGTCTTTCTTTGACAGGCCGGCTTCACGGGCGAGCTCGACGGCTTTTGAGCGAATGAGCTCCGCATTCACGGGAAGGGATTTGGCACGGTACTCGCGGACGAAATCCGCCACTTTGTACGAACACGAAATGAACAAGAAAAGAAAAATGGCGTCGGCAGAGGCGTCGGCCCATGGAGGCGATGTCGATGCTGATGCCCAAAAAACATGCGACACTCCCTGTTGCCAGACGATCACTTTGTTTATGCCAAGGGCCGGTATATAGGTCGAGGGGTGACTTTTTAGCGAAATTTTTTGGAAAAAATCTCGACCTATATTCCGCACTATACGGTAGCTACCCTGTTTACGAGGTGTCTCCTGACGGGAAGAGTACCAGAGTCTTGGAAGAACGCTAACATCATCTTAATACATAAGAAGGAGATGACAAGGACTTGAAGAATTACAGGCCGATCAGCTTGCTCTCTGTAGTATACAAGCTATTTACAAAGGTAATTGCTAACAGAGTAAAGAAAACATTAGAATTCAATCAACCAAAGGAACAAGCAGGATTTCGAACAGGCTACTCAACAATTGACCACATTCATACTATCAATCAGGTAATAGAGAAATGCTCAGAGTATAACCAACCACTATACATAGCCTTCATAGAATACGAGAAGGCGTTTGATTCAGTAGAAATATCAGCCGTCATGCAAACACTGCGGAACCAGGGCATAGATGAAGTATATATAAACATTCTGGAAGAAATCTACAGGGGATCAACTGCTACCATAGTGCTTCATAGAGAAAGCAACAGAATACCAATCAAGAAGGTGTAAGGCAGGGGGACACAATTTCCCCAATGCTATTTACCGCGTGCTTACAGGAGGTTTTCAGAAGCCTAGAATGGGAACAGTTAGGGATAAGAGTCAATGGAGAATACCTTAGTAACCTGCGCTTCGCCGATGACATTGCATTGCTGAGTAACTCGGGGGACGAATTGCAACTCATGATTACGGAGTTAGACAAGGAGACCAGAAAAGTGGGTCTTAAAATTAATCTGCAGAAAACGAAAGTAATGTACAACAACCTCGGCAAAGAGCAGCGCTTCGAGATAGGTAATAGTGCACTTGAAGTTGTAAAAGACTATGTCTACTTAGGGCAGGTAATAATCGCAGAGCCGAACCACGAGATTGAAGTAACTAGAAAAATAAGAATGGGGTGGAGCACATTCGGCAAGCACTCTCAAATTATGACAGGTAGATTGCCACTATCCTCAAGAGGAAGGTATATAACAGCTGTATCTTGCCGGTACTTAGCTACGGAGCAGCAACCTGGAGACTTACAAAGAGGGTTCAGCTTAAATTGAGGACGACGCAGCGAGCAATGGAAAGAAAAATGGTAGGTGTAAACTTAAGAGACAAGAAGAGAGCAGAGTGGATTAGGTAACAACCGGGGTTAAGGATATCATAGCTGAAATCAAGAAGAAGAAATGGACATGGGCAGGGCATGTAGCGCGTAGACAGGATAACCGCTGGTCATTAAGGGTAACTGACTGGATTCCCAGAGAAGGGAAGCGGGTTAGGGGGAGACAGAAGGTTAGGTGGGCAGATGAGATTAAGAAGTTTGCGGGTATAAATTGGAAGCAGCAAGCACAGGACCGGGTTAACTGGCGGAACATGGGAGAGGCCTTTGTCCTGCAGTGGACGTATTCAGGCTGATGATGGTGATGATGATGATGATGAGATGATGATGATGATGATGATGATGATGACGATGACTGTACCAGTCCTTGCGATCTGATGCGACATACATAGACACCATGTTCGAGAGAGTTGTGTTCGTTCGTTCAGTTAGACCGTTTGTTTGGGGATGATATGGTGTAGAGTGCCAAAACCTTGAGGCACAGACACGAAGCATCTCTTCCATTACGTCTGCGGTGAACTGTCGGCCACGGTCACTGATTGCAATTTCGGGAGGTCCTTGTCGAAGAATAACAAAACGCAGCATGAAGAGAGACACATCGGCTGCAGTTGCCGATGGTATGGCAGCTGTCTCGCAGTATCGTGTTAAATGGTTGGTGCAGACGACTATCCGGGGATTTCCATCAGAAGACTGGGGAAGGGCCCAAGGAGGTCAATCCCGACTTGCTCGAATGGAGTTTTAGGGGGCGGCACCGGATGTAACTGCCCTGGAGGATCACTTGTTGAGCGCTTATGACGTTGACACTCGTTACAGCTAGACACGTATTGTTCTGTCGTCTGGCGCATTTTGGGCCAGTAGAATCTTTCTTGGAGACGGCAAAGAGCTTTCGCTATGCCTAGATGACCGGATGTTGGGTCATCATGCATAGCCTGTAAGACATAAATGCGAAGACTCTTCGGAACCAGTAGAAGATATCGTGAGCCGGTGCTGGTGTAGTTCTTTTTGTAAACTAGCCCGTCTCGGATGCAGAAGCGTGTAGGCGATGATTTTGGTTTGGTAGCAATGAGTTGCTGTATGGTGCTGTCCCTTTGTTGCTCATCCTTAAAGGTCTTGGCATCGGGAAATGGTTGATGCAGTGATGCGATGTAGGTGTCGAAGTAGTCCGCGTCACATTCCGTCGTTGGAAGGGGTAGTCGCGAAAGACAATCTGCGTCAGCGTGACGTCGGCTGCTTTTATAGGAAACCGTGAAGTCATATTCTTGTAGACAAAGTGCCCAGCGCGCCAGCCCACCAGATGGGTCACGCAGATTGACCAACCAGCAGAGAGAATGATGGTCTGTCACGACGGTAAAGGGGCGTCCATACAGGTAGAACCGGAAGCGCTGCACTGCGAAGACTACTGCAAGGCATTCTTGCTCTGTGACAGTGTAGTTACGCTCGGACTTGCTGAGCGAGCGACTTGCATACGCTACGAGGTGTTCTTGATTATCCGAGCGTTGAACCAGGACAGCAACCTACACCAATACCGATGGCATCTGTGTGAATCTCAGTGGGAGCGAGAGAATTGAAGGGTCGAAGAATCGGATGGGTCGTCAAAAGAAATTCAACCCCAAAAAAGCAGACTCGCATTCCGGGGTCCAGTCAAACTGCGCACCTTTCTGAAGCAGACACGTGAGCAAATATGCGATATTGGCAAAGTCGGGAATGAATCGGCGAAAGAATGAACAAAGCCCCAAAAAGCTACGCAGTTTCTTTCACCGAATGAGGTTGCTTAAATGCTTCCACTGCGGCCGTCTTGGCGGGGTACCGGTCGTATGCCTTCTTGTCTACTAAGTGTCCAAGGGCGAGTGTTTGGCACTCTCCAAAACGACATTTCTTTGAGTTGAGCACCAAGCGAGCTTTGCTTAGGCAGTCCAGCACGAAGCCAAGGCGTGTGTTTTGCTCACAAAAGGTGGTGCCCAAAATTACAACGTCGTCCAAGTAACACATACACCACTTCCCACTTCAATCCACGCAGAATATTGTCCAATAAAGCGCTCAAAAGTTGCAGGTGCGTTACAGAGTCTAACCGGCGTCACATGAGTTCAAATAGTCCATCTGTTGTAAAAATGCTGTTTTTTCCTCGTCTTCCTCGTGCATTGGAATCTGCCAAGTAGCCTGACCCCAAATCCACAGACGAAAAGAAGAGGCCGGTGATAGACAATCGATAGCATCATCAATCCGCGGGAGTGGGTATACGTCTTTTTTAGTGATGGCGTTGAGACGGCGGTAGTCAACACAAATCGCCATGTCCCATCCTTCTTTTTCACTAGAATTACTGGAGCGGCCTACGGCCTACATGATTCTGAATTACAATTTTCTTGAGCAATCTCGCAAACCTGTTCATTGATCACTGCGCGTTCCGAAGGCGATCACTGCGCGTTCCGAAGGCGATACACAATGTGGTTTCTGTCGGAGAGGTCTGTGAGATGTCGTGCCGATTCGGTGCTTTATGCGAGAAGGATGGAATGACGGTGGATTGTGCTGAGCGAAGTAAAAAATACCGGCATGTTTGCACAGAATACTCGCCCAGTTCATTACGTTCCTTGGTGCTGAGTGACTTGTAAATCATAGCCATAATAGTGCTGTCCCTGGCGTGCAGATTATCGCAACGGGTCTTATCCGGGCAATCGCTGCTGTCTGCAAGAATGGCAAGCGAGAATACTTGGTGTTCACGAATCTCTGCAAGTTTTAAAACCCTCCGGCAGCACTGTTGGTTCGTCAGAGCAGTTAATCACCCATAAACTAGTATGCCCTTGTGCAACCGATAGCGTGCAGTAGGGTATTAAAACTGTCTTCTTTATGCAACTGAGATGCACGGGCTCCACAGTTGCGTCAAATGTTTTCTCGCTTGCAGGTGAACAGACAACAGCGACACATTTCGCAGAAAATGGCGGCACAAGTTGTGTCCACGGACACGCAATGAGCACTTTCTAGACAGAGAGTTTTTATAAACGCACTGGGGTATCAGAATCTACTGTAATTTGTCCTGTGCGAACAATCGACAGTGGCACCACATAGCTTCAAGAGAT